AATAACATATGAATTTTGACACAGAATTTTTATAAAAAATTTAATTTTATTTTAGAAATACAACCTCTATTTCCTGTTGAATTTATATCTAATAGCTCTATCATGTTTAAAATATTTCTATTTTGCATATATACTTTTTAAGCAGACGTTGGATTGTATCACATATTAAATGTTTGGGGATGGTTTTCATTGTCACAAAATAAATCTACTTTTTATGCTCTAACAAATTCAACACGCTAAATGCTCCCGAATTCAACCAAATTTTAATTACCTTCAAAAATTATATTTTCGATTATGACCCTACAAGAAAGTAACAGGAGGAATGAGTTCCCATCCCGGAATAAAAGTTTTGTACGGTTCTGACTGATATGCACCTCAGATATTCCCTTTAAACTTCAATAACTCAGCTAAAATAAATTCATTTCTATTGTTTCTACTTAATTTATAGAGAAAATATACATAAGATATCTATGTTTGTAAATTCTTTTTGGTATACACATTTACTTATATATTTTATGAAAATGTTATGTAAATATTTTTATTTGTGAAATCAATGGAGTGTAATTTAATGTAGTGTGAAATATATATACATTTTTTTTTTAATTAACATAGAAAATTCATTATATTTTTCTGATTTAATTACAATCTTATTGAAAATTTTTCTTTTCGGCATTATTTTTTTTTATTAGCCTATGTAGTTTTTGGGCAACAAGAAAAAAACGTAAGAAAAATGTCAAATCGTTTTATAAAACCCATGAATATTTCAAATTATATAGAATTTGGTCACTTCTGTAATAAATTACATATTGTTTTACGTAAAAACAAAATAAGAAAAAGTTATGTATAAATTATGTGTAAGTAAGTGTACATAATTAATTCCAATAACTGACAATAATATGGTATACGAATAAAAAAGAAATTGAACTGAAAAAGGAAAAACAAAAGATAAAATTCTGGTATTAAAACAACAAAGAAAACTCAATTAGGATAATACTAATTCATTAATTGTTTTTGGTTTCTTAATTTTCTTTGAAAATCATATTTTATTTCTTGTACACACTTATTTTACTTTCCCTATTGTTTTTAGTATCCTTGGCCAGCATTTAAGGTTATTATTTCCGTTTTACTTTGTTTTCTCTATATGTTGTTTTCTTTTGTTTTTTTAGCACTTTTCCAAAAAATTTTTGAAAAAAAAGTGCTTATTAGTTTCACTCTGTCCGTCCGTCCGTCCGTCCGTCCGTCCGTCCGTCCGTCCGTCCGTCCGTCCGTGTGTCTGTTTACAAAACTTCTACACCCTTGAAGATAGAAAGCTGAAATTTTGTACGTACATAGATTTTTACTAGAAACTTATTTTCGTGGAACAAAATTTTTACCTATCTCCCCCCCTTTAGAAGTTATATCCCCCCAAAACCCTAAAAATGCCATTCTTTAACTATTTAGTGCAATGAAACCATAAGGATTTTTCAAATTTTGCAAACGCAGAAAGGCAGTGGCTTACTTCCCCTAGCGGGGTATACTAAAGGTTAACTTTAGAAAAACAAAATGGCCGCTCAAATTTACCGTTATCTAAAGTCCGTTTTTTCCAAATTTTTGATGTCGTTTATTTTCTAGACCCCAACCTGTAGAAGCTTGAAATTTTATGGGCTTTTAGACATTAACAAATAGTTCATTTCGTTAGAAGAAAATTTTTTTCCATCTCCTTCCCCTCTCAAGTTATGGCCTCTTGAAATTTGTAAAATTTGAATTTTTGACACCTTATATTTCCGAAACCGCAAGCTTTTTCAAATTTATATAAACATAAAAAGCTAACGGTAAATTCCATGAAATTAAAAAATATAATTATTTTTCTTAACTCACATAATTAAACCTTAAAATCGAGCATTATGTTAACCCCTTTTTATATTAATTTTTGCTTTATTTCAAACACTGCATATATGCGTCATCCTAAATATATGCAATTCTAGAAATAGTTTTGTATATGAATGAAAATAATTTTAATAGTTTGATAGGTATACATAGACTGTATTTAAAAGCAGAATTTTCACTTGCTGAAGGGAAAAGTGCTACAATACAAACCATTGGTTTGACCCAACTTTTTTTATTAATTTTCGTCTATATTACACGTTTTTGCTTTGTGTGTTTATAACAAAATATTATTAAAGCATATATGTGTATGTCTTGTATCCCCAAAAGTAGATTACATTTGTTAAAATTTAAATCAATATGATGTAGAGTATATTAACATGTATATATGTATGTAGTCCAATTTCAAGTTATAATTTTCGCGATATAAGAAGAAATTTGTTCTATATATCGTTTTTCAAATTGCTAAATATCCTATGCTTTAAAATCAGACTACAATTGGTTTAAACTAATTTAAACATTACAAGCTATTTGAGAAACAAATTACTGTTAGATTTTTTTCATTCTTAAGTAAGAATGAAATTAGAAGATCAAAGATTTAAGAAAATTATATGCAGAATTTCAAATGACTTACTGAAACCATATTTGCAAGAAATTTCTAAATGTATATTTTTAATTTAAGAATGATAGTTTTACAGAACCGATTAACAGCTCCATGCTTTTGTACATAGATTAACGCTATTTAGTTTTTCCAAATAAATTAAGTATTTAAATTGGTCTTCAGTGCTACAATAGAAACAAATTATTGCTTGTGGAAGCTTGTATACGGGAACAAATTTTCATACATGTATCAAGATACTTTACCAGGCTGATAGATTGCCTTTGTTTCAAAATTCTATCTATTGTAAGACAATTGCAATATGTATAAAAAGGCAGTGACTTAGAAACCTTAAAAATATCGGAAAATTAGTGTAAGAGGGTATAATAAGCCACTAATTGAATGAACAGTCTTATCTTGTGCGCTTCATAGAGATTTCAACATAAGTAAAAAATTTGATCAAATAAAGTTGACTTAGAATAAGTAAAAAGTCGAATATCAATTTCACTTTTCTCTAATTAGTTGAATTTAGTTATTAAAAATTAAGTTGAGAAGTTGAAAAAGTAAAATTTAAAATATCGAAACAGAGTAAAGTACCTATAAGGGTGCAGATTTTATCTTGATAAAATTTTCTTATAAGTTTCTTAAACTGACTGTATATGAGAAAGAATAAGAACAAAAATTATTATAGACTGTACATAGAAAAATAAAAAAAAATCAAGATGTATAAAAAGGACTTTTCTGTTTATTCAAACAATAAACTGATAATGGAGAGAACGTAGGTGTAACGAATATTATATAATATTTTTAAATGAAAGAATCCTAGATCCATAAGGTATAGGGATGCTAGGATACGCATACGTGTCCTAGCATCCAAAAAATTTCTTTTTTTTTTGTGTATTTTTTTTGTATATATATATTGGGATAACAAATAATAATTTTTATAAAGTATGTATAGCCGATATTGTTTTTTCCTTAAAGTAAATATGTATGATCCCTATTTCTTTATTATAACAAATAGAAAATTAAATAAAGAAAAAAGTAAAAAAATAAAAACTAAAAATAGTAATAATAATTAGAAAACTTCCTTTTATTCTGGTTATTGAAGTACGTATTCTTCCAAGTAAATATGGTACCTATGTGCACGTCAGTTTCATTGGAAAATATCAAAAATGAATGTGTATATATTTCTATAGCTTTATTCCAAGGTTAAAAGAAAAAAATTATGTTTTAATAATTGTTTTAAAGCAGCATATTGCTTTAAAATTTTCTAAAATAAAATTTTTAGGGATGTTTTTGAATTTGAATTTGGCTCACAATGGGCTGCAAAAAAAGAAGAGAATTAATTTTGTTTCCATTTAAGAATATCAATCGATTAAGGAAACATCACTTTTAATTTTATTGGAAAAAGATTTTTCCTATAATGTTATTTTCCTTGTTTTAATCATATTTTAGATTTATTAAAATTCATAGCTTCTCTGGTCAATAAAATTAATCAAACGTGCAAACTAATTAAATGTCTGATAAAAAACTTTTAATTTTATTTGAGTCAAATTTGGGGCAACTGAAAAATTTCTCTTTTTTCATGGCGTGATTAGAGGAAAATTATAAGTCAATTTTTCAAAAATCCAAAATAAATAGTTAGTGGAGGTTTTATTTTTATTAATTAATTAATTAATAAAAAATTATATTTAAAAAAAAACGTGCAGGAAAATTATTTTAATAAATTTTAATAAATTTTCATTAATTTTTCAATTAATTTACAAATATTTTTTTAATTAGAGCGAACATTTTTATGCTTTGTTTTATTTAATTATAATGAAATCTAGTTAATCATAATTAAATATCTTTGAAATTACAAAGGTTTAATTAATTACTCCTGCATCAAGCACAACATTGCTAATACTTTTTCAATATATTTTCATAATTCAAAAATTGTTGAAGTTATTAAATAGATATGAACATCAGTAGTACACCAGTTTTCGAATCACTTTTAAAACCTTAATTATTATGTACATATTTACTTTGTAATTATTTGTGCAAGTTTGATGCCATTATGTATCATGAAAGCCAGCGTTTATTCAATGCACGAGACAAATTTCAGGAAAGATTTTTTAATGATTTAAAATTCTTCTATATATTACTATTGACTTCCTATATTTCTAATGATTTCTTATATTTTATACTACTTATTCATTTATAGACTTAATAAATTATTAACTGTATTTGGGAAACTGAGTTTGGGAAATTTTTCAAATCCTTACTGATCATATATTAAATTAATTGGATTTGAATTGTTAACCGAAAAATAAATAAGAGAAGACGAAAAGAGGCGAAATTTTTTTAGAATTTTCGTTTTGAAAATTTTTTAAATGATGACATTTACATTTCAGTTTTTTTGAACACACTAGTAATATATTTGATATTTGTACTTGCTATACGTACACACATAGCATAACATTGTTTTTATGTATTAAACATAAAATGATAAATTGCTTTTTAATATAGTTTTTTATTAAAAAAAAAATTTTCAACTTACCCCTTGATTTGAACATTCTTGTCCATTTTTATTTAATGGACATTTAGTTTGATCTATGTGTGGAAACAAACTAACACATGTTTGGTTTACACAAATTAAATTGTTGCCACATGGTGTACCATCTTTAACCAGACCATGTTCATTGGTACCCCCAGGACCACTTGTTGCCCTATAAATAAAAATATTTTAATCAAATTTAAGTTTTTATTATATTTATTATTACAAATTATATAAAAACATATAATTTATATATGTAATTAACATTAAATGTTATTATTAATAACATTTTTACACAAATTGTTATGTGTGAGCCTTGGGTAATAAATTATTATTTTGTTTTATTACAGTACAGTATATTTACTTCTGAAACTCCCTTTTGCAACCTAACTTTATTAATTTGAGTTAGAAACAAGAAAAGGTCTTTTCTTAACTTTTCGTTTTTCAATATTTCATATTAAGTTCTAAAGTTCATATGTGATCATAATGAAATAAAATAGAGCTATGGCATCAGATTTTATGCCAATTAATGGCAGAAAAGTGTGACCATGAAAAGGTTACCAGTTATAATTTTTCATGTGTTTAAATCCAAATATTGGCTTTCACCAAATTTAGGATTTCTCTTAAAATGAGTTTTAGCTACGGTAATATAGCCAATAATGGGTTCTGTTATAAAAAAATTTTTTACTGTAAAATCTATTTCGCCGCTCTGATTCTTTTTTAAATTTTTTTAAGCATTATTGTGTAAAATTCAAAACGCAAAATAATTGAAAAAAATGAAATTCTTTCAAAATAATGTTGCACATTTAAACAATATTCTATGTGAAATAAATTTAAATTGTATAACTATTTGTAAATTAAAATAGTATTTATTCCCCAATATGAAAATGAAGATAATGGAGTAACACGTAAATTTTTCTAATTTTTTATTTTGGGATACGTTCACCCCAATAAAATTTAATTTATTTCATAATTGGCTGATTAGAAGGGTTTCCTTTTTCATTAATATACAAAAAAATATATAGTAAATTGTCAATTTATTTCAATTTGTTTCAATGGTTTGCAAATTTTAAAAATACTATTTTAATGGTTATACGCGTTAGCAGTGGTCAGTTGTTTCTTAATTGTTTCAAATTAAATTCATTACCATAATCTGTTGGTAAATATTGTTAGTTTTATTTATTTGGTTTCTTTTAATTTTGTTTTTAAGTACAGTGGCATGAACTAAATACATATTTTCTGTAATTTGTTAATGTGAAGATTTTTTTTGTGTATAATCCTATTTTCTATTAAAATATTAAAAGAAACAGTATTAAACTTTCTATTTTTCCAAATAAGGTCTTTTATTTTGTTAGAAGAGGTCTTTTTGTTGCTCAAATAAGGTTTTTATTTTATTAAAAAATCATAGTTTACATTTCAGTCAATGTAAATTTTGGCTCATAAAAATATTGAAAACATTGAAATTAAGATTTAACATTAAATGTCATCAGACATTTGCTTAAGAGGCTACAGAATGTAATAAATTGTGATCAAGCAAATGGTTTGTAAAACGACCTTCAATTTAGATTCAATTATTCTAAGATTATATTTTTGTATGTAGCGAAATATTTTAGAAACATTGGATATTTTTAGGGTGAGACCAAAAATTAAATAAACCTTAACTTAATTGTTTGATTCAACGGTTTATTGGGTCAGTTACGGTTACGGTGAACAATTTACTGAAATATTCTTTCTAGCTATGTTTTACCATTAAAAATGATAGTTACTGTTATAGAAATTTGCTTTTATAATGTCAAAAATTGAAAGTTTGTATCGAATAACACATTTTAAAATGATTTCAAAAACTTTTAAATTTTATATTTCTACAACTAGTTGCTTTAACTATATTAAAGTAGTTTGGAAAATAGATTCTAGTTTGTGTTCATTTAATTTTGCTGTTGAACGAAAAAAAAACTTATTTTCTTATTTTTCAGCAGAATTTAAAAAATAATGAACTTTGTGAACTTTGTGTGGCTATATCTTTTAGAGCTGGCCAAAATTTAAGCATTTTAGAGGTAGGTTAAAAATTTTCCTTTAGAGAAATAGCTTTCTCGTTAAGATAAACCTTTAGCGTTCTTAAAAAACGTAGAGGTTTTGCAAACAAAATGGATGGATGGATCCACGGAAGAATGGATAGAGTGAAAATAATAAGAGAATTTTTCTTTAAATTTGAAATAAGCGCTAAAACAGATTATATATTAAATTTGCGAATTTAATTTTAAAATTTTCACAAAGTATTTAAGAGGTTTTCTATTTCTAATTTCTCAAATTCAGTTACTGTTTGACATAATTGTGATTTTTTTCAAGCTAATACTTAATGGTTTTTCGCTATAAGAACTTCTGAATTTTTTTCAATACTCGTCATAATAAATTTGATTTTTGAAATATTTGTAAGCTGAAAACATATAAATTTGGAAAGTTAATGGTTTTTATACGCTCATTTCTGCCTTTCATTTGTAACACTTTTATGGAAAATTTTATGTTGTAAAACTGTTGCATTTTGTAAAAGTAAAATAACTTTTATGACTTACTACCTTAAAATTATTCAAAATATGACAGAAAAATAATATTCAATAAAAGGAATTCCTGTTGGAACTCAAAAAAATAAAAAACAAAAAATTGATTTCTCAAAAATAATACTCACTTGCATTCATATTCGTTTCCTTTAATTGAAATAATTGTTCTAGAATATAATTGGTCAATACCATCATTACGTGGTTGTCTATCACCTTCTTTACATTGCAGTGTACCACATTGAACATTTCTGAAAAAATATTTTTATATCAAATATTGTTTTTTTTATTGAATTTTATGACAATGTCGAAAATTTTATATTTATATTTTTGTATAAACTTTAACATTATTTACATTGGTTTTAATTTAATTTGTGCTTTTTTTTCATTAAATATACAACAAATAGGAGCAAAAATAAAAAAGTTGCAAATATTGTAATATTTGATTCATGGCCTTGTATACCAGATATGATGAAGCATATTGAATTTATGTCAGTGCTGACAAACATTTTTTTTCATTTATCTGAGCTTTAACTTTTTTTTGTTATTAAATAATTGTCAGCTTAACATTATGTAACCTGGTTAAAGTAAACATAACTGAAAGATAAAGTCAATCAAAATAATTGGAAAATCTATTAAACGAAAACAAAATAAAACATTTTTTAAAACTATTCAAAATTTAATTTTCAAGCCTAATCGAAAGAAAATTTTATAACATTAATAAACGGTGATTTAGAGCAGTAAGCCTCTTCTATAGTCTTGGTTTGCACAGTTATTCGAAGATAATATAACGGTAGTAAAATAGGTGGAAAGGTAGAGTTTAAAAATGGTAAGTCTTATTGAATAATGTTAATAAACGTATAGCGTGGATTACGATAATAAGGTATAATGAGTCCCTTACTTATATCAGAACTCATCGGAAAGTAACAAGTATAAAGAAATAGGGATTCTTAAACAATAATTTTGTAAATTATTCATTAAGAATCCCTAAGGCAATATTAGTTTTTACATTTAGAATTTTGCATCTAATTTAATTGAGCAAGTTCACATGTTTTAGATTTTATTTACGACTTCATGCCTTCAGTTTTATGTTAGTCAAGGTAAGCTTGTGATATGAATCATCAATACCGTGAAAATCTACTGGGAATAATAAAAGATATTTTGATTTGAATTACCGGCTGGAAACAATAAGTACATACATACTTTTTTCTTTTAAAAACTATTAAATATTCGAAACCTGTGTAATGAAGAGAAAATAGAGGAATTTTTTAACAAAAATTATTCGGATTCATTTACAAAAGTTGTTTTATAAATGACGTCCATGGATATTTGTATATGTGAGCACATACATATGTATTTAAAAACGATATTGTCATGCATAATCTATGGACCAGAAAACTCTGCAGAAGGATTATTTTCAGTAAATCATCATGCTGTTGGTTTTTATGTCGATTTTGAGGTTTCATCGAATAATTTTTTTTGTTTGGTTTTATTTTTTTTTTTTTGTATTTTCTTGCAATTGTGACTTTGCCCTTTTCTTTTCTGTACATTTATTATTATTTGTCCTTGCATATAATATGCATTACATATGCACATATTATGTAAATATATTGTATGCAGGTTTACTTTGTATATTTTATGTATTATATTTAAAATTATTCTAGAATATTTGATTCACGTATACATTGTTAGATTTTAATTGGATTATAGAGTATTTTTTTTTGTTTTATGCAAGTGCATATTTTTATTTAGTTCTTGAGTCTTTTGTTTATTTTCAATAAGGATATATTGAATGGAATAATAGGGATTTTATAAATTTGATGTATTGATAAATGCAATCGATATACTTAGTTTTAAAAAAGTATACACGAAAAATGTAACAATATAAAGGATGAATGACAGAAAAAGAAACAAAAAAAAAAACAATGTATACGTGCAAAAATGGTTTAAATTTCTGAAAAATTTAACAAAACACATACTTTATAAATAACACAACGAGGATAGATATAGTTGACCGTGTAAATTTTGCGTTATTTATTCGAATAAATAATTTTCTGTAATTCCAAATTACTTATGGTTGCTGTAAGGATTCATATCAATTAAATTAATATTGGTGAGATTACTTTAACGAACTAGATTTTTGATTAAATTATTTTTGAAATTATAAATTGAAGCTTCAACCACTTTGATTAGATTCAAACTACATAAGGTTAGAGTTAGTTTTCCGTGTCGCTGTAAAAAATGTGTCCAAAATGTATCAAACCACAGTATATGTACGTATATGAAATATCATAAAACGGACGAGCCCATTTCAAAAAGTAGGGATTTAAAAACTTACACATTCATTGATATATGGATGCGTTTTTCATTAATATTTTACATACATACTTACATTTATCCAAAAATTAAATCATATATTAGTGAGTGTAAATAAAACATGGTAATTTCACATTTATTATTTAAAAAATAATATTACAGGGTTTTTTAAATCAATAATACAGTATTAATTTTTCAAATTTTTTAAATTTTTTATTCTTTTTGATTTGAAAGTTATGATTTTTGTACAAAATTTTTAAATTTGTAAAAGTTGTCATAATTTACGTTTTTTTTAGCATAAATGTATAAATCCGTTTTGACATAAATTGATAGTGGTCAAAGTTTATTTTTTTTATCAAACGTTTGGAAAATTGATGGATCAACTGGAGTTGAACTCAAGTGATGAGCTTCATTATTAAACTTAGTGAAAAATTCATTTTATTTTGTAAACTTTAACGAAACTGATAAACAATTTTTTGGAGTCAATTTTGTGAAATTATGCTTATTATAATTTTAGTTGTATTCAGTGATAACGTACGTACGTCCAAATCTGATTAAACAAGCAACAAATCTAGTTTGCCCTTTAATAAAATATTTCTTTTGAACAAATAAAATGAAGAAATTTAAAAAATAAATCTGTTTTGATAAAAAAAATGTCTAATACTAAATCATATTTTTTTGATGAAGATTATAGAAATAAGGGTGACTCCCACTTAGTATTTTGTTCCTTATTTAATTTTTACCCATTGAATATAAAAACTTATATGCCTATATGCCTATATCTAACATATCTATTTCTCAGCGTTACAAAACTAGTGGTGGAATTGAAAAAGTTTTCGAACATAATATGTTCGTTCGGACACTTAAACTATGAAATTCGTTTTGCACATTTTTAATAACATAGAAGGAAGAAGAAAAACCTACTATTCCTATTTGTACTTGCTAATTGAAATAAGTCTTTTCATTAAACAACTATACCTATTCCTGATAATTAAGATCATGCAGCTGTGAAATTTAGGTAACTGATGTTTTATCTCTTAGAAATTAAAGGATAATATGGTAATTGCTGCCGATAGGAAAGAAAATAAAGTTTTTCTGAAATATTAAAAAAAAAAATCTGATTTTGTGTAAATCAAATTTTGACACCATTTCCACAGATTATATGGTAAATTTCAATGTTATACGTTCTATATACGCTAATATTAAATAAAATTTAAGCTGAAAACCTCAACTAGGATAAACCCTAAAAATTTTTGGGAAAAAAATCTAAATTTATTTAATATCAGTTGTAATAAAATCGGTAAAAATTATAATATAAAAAAAATAATGTTGTGTATCATGTTTTACTCATAATAGCCGTATTACGAGGATTTTAACATCTGCTCTTCTGATAGCGGTTACAAAACAAAAAAAAAAATGAAAGCTAAAAAAAAATAGGAAAATGGAATGCATATAACAACGGTTTTAAAATACAAAATTTATATATCACATTTATTCATAATATATATCTAAGATATTTAATCATTTTGGACCAGAACTCATAGAATTAAGGGTTATTATAACGGTTGATGTATAATAATAACTTTTTGCATCATCAACAGGAAAAATAAAACCACAAAACGCTTTTCTCCGTAAAATATGCAAACTAAATTCTATAGTTGAGTGTTATTTGTAATGGGTGTAGAAACATTGGGAAAACATTAAATGTTACCATATTTCGTTGTAAAAATTTTACCTAAACATGAACGGGTTGGAGCAATTATGATTTAAAATTTAGTGAATTTTATTTATAACAATATAATAAGTATGTGTTCGTCAAGTATATATTCGTTTTATTTCTAAGAATAGTGCACAAGCAGTATTAAATATTTAAAAGCAATAAGCGTCCGATTAGGTGTTCCTTTTGAAAATTTATGCCCTAAAATCAAGATGTTCTTTTCTTCCTGCAAATTTTATAAAAGATTTTATAACTATTTACTAAGCATATTCGAAAAGCCTTTCTAGTACACAATAAATCGTCTCCCATATTTTCATAATTAAATTAATCGTTTACGACATCATCGCTTATGATATAAATGGCGAAATATAAACTGTGATGATTTGGTAAAATATACTTTATGTTATAATTTTTATTTTAAAAAAGAAAAAAGAATTTCTGAACAAAATTTTATGATTCAAATTAGTAAGATTTTATTTAAGTTGGACACTTTAAGAGAGTCAATTAACCAATTTGTAAAAATATTGATATAACAATACAAATGTCGGTTAAATTAGACAGTCCTTATTATTTAGAACTTTAAACAACTTGCTAAAATCTTGATATAAAGTGTTATTTAAAAAAAATATTTTATTCTCCACTAAATTTAATAAATTATGTTTGTAATGCTTGTATTGAAAGAGAAACTTTACGGAAATTATGACAACTCGGTGTGCGTTTTAATTTGTTGAGCAACGTTTAAATTGTAGAAGTATATTTTGTTTTCAGGAACATGTTGAAATAATTTTTTTATTCTGATGCAAAGCCCTTCGATGGAGAAATAGTAAAACATTTTCGGGAATTTACAATCTATAGTTCCAAGTAAGAATGTTAGTGTCTGGCTTTCGTTTTCCCCTGGGTATTAGTTAAAGAATACAAACACCTTCTAAATATATAAATACAATAAGTATATAAATACACTCGAATAGTCCATAATTCCTGAGATAAGGCCTTTATGACTGATTTAAAAATATCCTCTTTAAAATTCTGCTATTTCTAATTATTTTACGGATTTACAGATTGTGTATCTCCTAACATACAATCGAATCATGTGAGAGAGTCAATTTCGAAAAAATATCTAATATGGCCTTTCCAAATGACAAATTCTTTCAAAAAAATTCAGTTTTCCTATTGAATATTTAATGGTAATGCTGCGAATTAACTTGTGAAGGAGTGACTTTTATCTATATTTTATATTTAACATAAAAACGGTATAGGAAAAGGAAGTAACGTCATTTCCTCTAAACTTCATTTCCAGGCATCAAATAAAAAAACAAGAAAAGTATACCAAAAATAAAAAAAAAAGTTTATAAATTTTTTCCTTGAATTTTTTTAAGGCAAGTATGGATTTTTCCAGTAAATTTCGTGGTTTACAGTTAAATAGTTTTGAAATGTGCAACTATTCATTGTATGTATACATACATTGTTCTGTATGTATATTAAAAATGTGGTATATAGAGTGTGTATAAAATTGAATGGATAGAAGCAGAACCATTCTTAATCTTTTGATAGCTCTGCTTATTGCTTATATGCATGAGATTATAATCGTTAACAAAAAAACGGGAAAGAATAAAAAAAAAATCACAGAGCACAACACGCAAACCAAAAATATAATGAAATCAGAGAAAAGTTTTAACAAATAATTTCCACTTTTTTTTTTCTCTCTCTCTCTCTCTGGTTTTTATTTACTTGTTTTTCCATATTTTTTTATTTTGAGAATTTCAAGGATCATAGGAAAAACGGAACACAACAGCAGAGAAAACAATGAAACAAAAAAAAAAGTATGAGAAAAAACCGAATCAGCAACAATCTCTAACGGACTTTTATTATTTTGTAACGTTATGGTTATGCAATAATATTTTTGTTTTATCTCAAATATTTTTTCCAATTTTATAAAAACGTAGAAAAACGTGGTTCATATTTTTGTGGTTCAGTTTTATTGTTTTGCATAATTTGTTTTTTAAATTCCAGGTTTTTTTTGGGATAATGTCGGGCTATTCACAAAATAGCTTTTAGAATAAAAATTGTTTTGTTATTATCATTAATCTTTTCGAATTAGTGAATTTGTATTTCTGTAATAAAAGTGTAAATCGCAGTTAATTGGTTTTTATTGATTTGACAATTGTATTGAATATGACAGGTAATTAAATACTTTGTTATTGGTTCTTTATTTTTCTTTTAGAAATTGAAAAAGTTTCGTGTTTCGGATCAAAAAACAGAACCATAAATTATATGAAAATCCAAATTGGATAAAAGTTTAAATATCGCTGAGTACTCTTCATACAGTAAATTATAATTATATTTTTCAAATTTTACTACGTTAAAACTGTTTTGAATTCATTTAAAATGTTCTAAGCAAATTATCATAATCACTTCAGTGTAACAAATACTTAGGTGACTAACTTATTAATTAATGAAGGATTTTTATTGAATTGATGTTGGACCAAATTCCAGCGTCCTTGCAATAAATTTCTCAATTAGGACTGAATATTTCATTAGTTAAATGGAAAATTTATGAAATAATTAAGTTTCATTTAAAAATCGTTAAAACTTTTAAACGAAATGCTACCCTTGCTTCTATTTTTTCGTAGTGACTGGAAAAAATATTTATAAAATGCATAACAGAAAATGACTGGAATTCACTTTTAAAATGTCTAATATTGAATCCATTAGACATTTTATAAATGAATTCAGTTTATGTTTTTCGCACACATAATTATATTTCTAAATCAAGTACATTGATATACTGATTAGTTTTTCCAAATTTTTAGTGAAGTGGAAAAACATTTACATTTACATTAAGGTAAAATTGACAATATTTCGTTTAATTAATCGAAATTAATCTCAATACGGAGAGCTGGGTCTCCTATTTAATTTGAATTAAAATGCAAGTGCACTAAAATTTTATATTTTTAATTTGAAAATTTCATCAAAATATAAAAATTTACTAAGGCTTACAAATAAAACATTGGTAATAGAATTTGTATATCAACATTCTTTACTGACCTCCATTTCAAAAAAGGGCGATAATTATATTTATCCGTTTTAATTTCATTTTAATTTCGTTAATTTTGTTGAAATTAAAATTGTTGATATTTTCAAATTATAATTTTAATTTAAAATTAATTCTTTATACCAAATTTTCGACATTATGTTTAACAATATAGTTTTACCAGCAAATTCAACAAAATTCATAAAGTATATACTATGTGTCAACAAACGCTGATAAATAGCTTTTATCTTTACAAAATTTATGAATGTCATGACAAAGTTTTGTTAATCAAAAGAATGTTCAAAATTGTATGGTACATAACATGTGCATTTACCTTCAAAGAGTATACCTTCAAAGAATTTAATTGGCATCTAGACAAATAAGATTGCCCTTTTGTACTTTTAAAACAAAAATATTTTTTTATTTTATTTTCCCAACACACAAAATTTTGGTTGCACTCTTGTATTTTACATCTTTAAAATCTATGGAGATTGTAAATTTAAAGTTTATTGTGGTAAACAAACCATTAACAAAATAGAAGACAGCAAATAAACAATCGAACAAAAAAATAAGTGTATGAAATTGTATAACCAAAATGAATGAAGCAAAATTCACAACCATATGGCTATAACATATATTCGACTGAGTATTTATCGGCACAATACCTGAATTAACAATAAAAACTAAAAAAATGTTGTTACAAAGAGTAACAGTTAGGAAGAATTCTTTCAACAAAATTGTGTTAAAACGTTTTTTAACAAACCTGGAAAATTTTAAAATTTAAAAGTAGTGGAAAAAAACAAGTGGAAATAATAAAAAAAAACTAAACTTACTCTGGTTCACATTTAATATAATGTCCATTTGGATCACGTCCGCAATGGCCATTAATGGATCCTTTAGAATTGAATTGTTCATAGCACTGGCGATCAGCAGCAACGCCACCATCACCCCAAATTCCTTCACATTGTAAATTTAATGTTGGGCAATCCCCTTGAAAGCAATAGCCTATAAATTAAATAATAAAAAGCAATATATAAGTATGTGTCAATGACAAAAATTTTATAATATTTAAATATATTGTGCAAGTTGTTACATATGTAATTTACAAAAGGTCTGTAAAGATTATAAATAAAAATAATTATAATAGTTATAAATGATGCGTAGCGTTCAATTAAAATTTATATTTGTACATATAGGTACATACAATATTTACATATTAATTTATAAGGATGGCAATGAAATGTTTTGTACGTAACTTAAAATTTTTATTGCTCTGATATCTTTTTTGGTTTTCAATAACTAAAGAAGTACATTTTGTATATGTACAAGTAAATTAACACTTTTGTATGTATAATGTTTCGATTTATTAGAATTTTCTTAAAATCTCATCTTTTTAGAACAATTCTTACAGCCTACATCGAAACAGTAGCGCAGCAGATTAGTAATAATTCAACTGTACTTTGTTATGGTCGATCCCTTAATAGGGCCTATAGCAACAAATAAAACTGGTTGAAATTAATGGTGAAAGCACTGTTTTTAAAAACAATCAATCACATTTTTTAAAATAGGTATATTCGGTATGTTATACCGAAATATTTCAAAGGTTGCATACATTTATACTTGAAAAAAAAAAACAAAATTTAAAGAGGCTACAACATAATGTTTGAATTCAAGGGTTAATTGCGCCATTAATGTTAAGAAAAATAATTATATTTTTTGTTAACATTCTGCATTTATAAAAATTTAAAAAAGCTTGCAGTTTGGGAAATATAAGGTCCTGAAAATTTAAATCTTACAAATTTAGAGAGGCGACAACTCGAGAGAAGGTGGAGAAGGAAAAAACTTTCTTCTAACAAAATAAAAGGTCATAAAATTTTAGACTCCAACGAAAACGATATAAAAATTTTTCATATCGTTTTTCTCCTTTTGAAAAACTGATAATTTTAGCAGCCATTTTGCTTTTCTAAATTCAATTATGTTGTGTCCGTGGTAGAAGAAGCCAGCCCCAAATTTGCATTTGCAAAATTTGAAAAATGTTTATGATTTCTTTAAAATAAATAGTCAAAAAATGGTATTTTTTGGTGTTTGAGGGACAATCGTTTTTAGTAGGGGGGATAGGATAGGTTTTCTTTTACAGAAATAATTTTCTAATAAAGATTAAGTGAGAATTTTATCTTTTTATCTTCAAGGATGTAGAAGTTTTTTAAATGGCGCTATTGAAACTATTAAGCACATCTTTTCAAAATTGTTCCAGCAAAGACATAGACAAGAACTGCTGTTAATAAACATAGATAGGTACAATCATAATTCCTTAAAATGTGTATTAATTGATGCGGTTAGGTCTACAGGTTCTAACATCAAGTGCAGAAAAATACATATACCAATAATAGTAAAATTACAGACAAAATATAACATTAAATACCTACATAAACTTATTATATAAGTTTTTCAGAGTAATATTTTTTTCTGAAATTTCTATTGAAAAATTATTTTCTATAACGAAACTATTTTTATTTTAACATATCTTATATTGTATTAATTTTATATATGAAAATTAAAATATGAGAAAAAGTGCGCTTTCGAAAATTATGAAAATAAAAATCCGATGTTGTCAGATACGTAAATATACTCCAATGTAAGTCGAGATAAAATTTTTTTTACAGATTTTTAAGATTCAGTAGGTTATTTAACTGGGAAAAAAAATCAGAAATGACCCTTATTAAAACTGTAATTTATTTTTCCAAATACTGTTTTCAAATAATTTTAAGATTTTTTAAAAATTAAAAAATCTTAATATATTTTTGTCAGTTCTTTGAATTAGAAAGTGTTGAGTTTCTCATGAATTTACTGTAAATAAGTTTAGTTTTCCCTTTTCTTAATATTATAATAATAAGATTTCTATTCTTATTTTTCAATCATGCATATACAACAAAAAAATAAATAAAGATTTAAAAAAGGATTCGATTTTGTATTATCTATGGATTTTTTTTTCTTTTGTGTGATAACCATAAATTTGCAAAAAAGTAAGATATTTCGCAGAAGAACGTAAAGAAAAAGCAAACACTATAAGAAATTTTTTTTCTGTTTAGTTTAAACAATCGTCTTCTTTATCCACACATGTTTTAAATACAAAAATTTTGATCCCTTAGAATCAAGATTGCTTTGGTTTTTTTTTAACAAAATACAGTCGAATTTGAATATATGCCACTATTTCATCTATGTTGAAAATCGATTACATTATTCGAAGAGTAATATAAATTGTTTAAGTTCCTTTTTCCTTCAATTAAACTTAAACAACTACTGTTATCGAGAGCCGCTGAAGCTACAAAACCGCCTGATGGCATTGGACGGTTTGTCAGATCAAAAATACCACATTGACATTAAAAGTTTTAGGGATACCAAAAAAAAAGGAAATTTACATTAATTTTTGAAAAAGATTTTATTTTTTTACAAAGTGTGCATATAAAAGTGTAAGTTTCAAAGAAGTTTTAATCTTGTGTTACTGAAAACGGCTGCTTTAAATTGAGCATCGCATTTATCTGTGTTTAATTTTCTCGTATAAATTTCGAGGAACACTTCCAATAAAAAAAAACGGGTTAAATTTTTTGGTTGCTTTTAAGCGTGTTTCTTATATGTGTTTCCGATTGTAAGATAAAAACAAAAAGTACGAGTAAAGGGCAAAATTAATTTCAGAAAAAAATGTTAAAAATTGATTCATATCAAAACTTCATACATAACTTATAAGTATATAATTACATATTATGTAATATTAAATATTTAATACATAACATTTATACGGAGGTATGAATACAAATTGCTTATGTATAAAATATTTTTTTAAATAATATTTTTTTTATAAATTTTTTAATATGGACTTCTTCAAAAGTTTATAAATTTAATTAGTTTTTAATCTTCAGGGAAATTTTGTTTATGAATAAAATTATTAATATTTTAGGTTAACAAAAAAAAATTTGTTTTTTGTTATAAAACGTTCTTCATAGGAATTTTAAATGTTACGATTGGGTTAACGCCTATATCTTAATTTTTTCGTATGATATTTTTTTTATTCTGTTGTTTTAAGTGGTGACGAGATAAAAAGAAGAAGCAAAAAAAAAAAACTGGAACTCAAGGATAACGTTCATAAATAATCTTGCAACATTCTCGAGTCTTTATACAACAAAAAGGAAGATGGAAAGAAAAAAATAAATTATAATTTAACTCTTATGCATTACTTGTTCTGAATTTCTTTAAAGATTTTCAATGCCATTTTTATATATGTATTTTCCTTTCATTTTGTGTTCTTTAAAGTTCCAACATTTGATGTACTTTGCATAAAACAAAAATTACTATTTTTTTCGTTTGTTTTAAAGAAATTTTTGTTATAGGGGCAACAAATTTTTTTATTTCTTTTTCCAAAATGTGGGCGGTTGTAAAAATGATGAGAGCGAATTTCCTTAATTGCTATTTTCACTCATTGATATTGCAAACGAAAAAAAAAAATTTATTAATTCACTAGCAACTTAAAAAAGCCTAAAAGTGTTTTCAAGTTTGCTAAAATTTACGTTTATATAATAATGTTAAGATACAAAAGTGATTACAACTTGTTTTACTTCCTTATTTTTTTATACCTGTGCTTCTTATAAATAGGTTAAATATATGTACATATATTTATAAGATTATTTATAAGAAGCATACGTTATTTATCACGACGTATGTAACACAAAGAAGGGAATAGATTTTACCTCATAAACAGAATATTACGAGTATAGTCAAAATGAAATAAAATTAATGATTTTTCTTCATATGTTTATTATAGAGACGTAAATTAACGTAAATTTGCTTAAAAAAATCAATTCAACAAGTCGAAAGCCTGAATATCGAACCGCCAAAAAAAGGTATATACAGAAATATCGATTCAACGTAGGTCGATTCAAATTTCGAATAAAAAATTACAATACTTATTAAAATTTTTTTATTTTTACATCACGTTACTAATACAGTCATATCTTTATTGCATTTTACTGTAATTCATTACAAGCTCTAGGTACAACATATTATTAGGTAAAAGACGTACTTACTGCTAAGTTCTAATGTTCTATCTATACTTATTCTTATTGAAAAATAAAATTATAACATTAGGATTGAACAATAAATAAGGGTATAATCGGAAAGTAATCAAAAATGTGCATCAATGCAGCATTGATGCAAAAAAAAGTTTCTGATGCTATACTGATGTGATGCGTTTATCTTGCTGATGCAATATTATTTTGATATTTTTGGACACTTTCTAAATCATACGTTTTTTGGCGTTTATTTTGCAACGGTTTCATAATCTTAAATTTATTAAAATTATTACTCGTAACAACTGAAAATCTATTAGAAAAAATTTTTTAATTCCAATTAAGTTTTGGAGATTTTAATATAATGGAACATTTAAAAATATTAATACCGTGCATTAAGAAATAATTAACTTTATTAGTTATTGAGTTAAAATAATAAATTATTTACTTCTCAGCTTCCAGTAAAAACGAGAATCAAAGATTTAAAGTTCATATTCTACATTCGTCCAAATCAAAAGACTTCAAGTAACTGTTGCAAATGTTCCGGTAACAGCATACGTTACTTCTGCGATCTTCCATTATATAACCCGCTCTTGAAAATCATCTTTCAGATCTTGCACACTCTGCAATTATCACATCAATACTTTTAAGCTAAACTACTCAATTCGGGATTCACTGGTCGCGGAGTTTCTAAAATATAAAAGGTCTTCTTTCGGTCCATATTGTTGTTGACTGAGATGCTGTTCCAGTCGTTTGTGAATTCAAGTTGGCATTTCTTTAGGTATAAGGATTTAGGAAGTTTGTGATGAAACTTCTATAATCAAATTTATTTTCATTAAATTGCCTCTGAGAAATATTTAATATGTTTTTTTTTGGCAAAACGTTTTTTAAAGAATTTGATAAATACTTTAAGTTTTTTTTCTCGATTTTTCTATTTCACCCTAT